CCAAAAGTGACACTAAAGTACGTAGCTGGCAAGGGGCCCGACCGATTGCTCGGAACAGGAATTTGATTCTCGGATGGGCCATCATAATTGATTGCGCCGGTTGCTCGAGGACCCACGCCGCGCCGTGGCACGTTGCCAGAAGGATCAGCAGTGCCGTCCTTGGCCGGGTGTGTGGCTTTTGCATGATCGATGAAATATGTAGGTTAAGCTCTATATATGGTTAGGAACAGTTTGCATGTGAGTATACAGTTCTTGTTTTAACATTGTGAAGCACACGACCGATCGAGTCCTTGCAACTGAGACAGTAGGGACCCCATGCAAGGACTGCGGAGGCTTTGCAATCTAGATCGACAATTTGAAATATTGGTTTCTGGCCCTGCGTGAAGATCTCATCGAGCCTTTGGTGCTCTACAGAGCAAACCCTATATACGTAGAGTTCTCCATATGATCTCTCTGTCTCTCTCTTTCTCTCTTTGGTTCAATCGTAATTAGTGAACACCTCGCTTCATGTCACGTTTGTGTTGATATCTAGAATCTGTATACGTTTTTGGTACATATATATATATATATATATTCGACATATATATCTACATACATTTACAGCTTTTATATGGATACACAAAGAATATTTAAGGGACCCGTGAACATTCCATGCGAGAACTTGCTTGGATCTTGAGAGCTTGGGGCCCGAGGCTTTTTGGACTGCGTTGTATAGTGGCCACAAAGACACCGATGTAATTAGTCCCACTGAAGACACCACTTCAGCAAAGTTCTGCCAATCCGAAGACGTGTTCTCCCAACCATCACCCACCCAAGACCCGATCGAGCCCTGGAGATCAGCTCTGCTAGACTCATATGACTCTGCTTCGACACAAAGAGGCAAATATTTCCTTGAACCTTTGACTACTAATTACCCAGAAAACTAGCAACCAACTCCCACCCAAAGCGTTCTGCGCTCAGGACACTGACCCTTAATTGTGCTTACTATGGAAGCTAGTCAGTCGGTTCTTTACGAGTTCTGTAGTGGTATAGGTCCTATATAAATATATATTATGCTTATAGTTATAGGCCATCACTATTATCTTTACAGAAAAGAAGACAGCCGGGCTTGATGTCGGTGCAGGGTCCGAGTATTGTAGACGCTATTGGGGGTAGTCTTGGTTGGTAATTGATTAACAGTTTGCTCTTCTGGATTTGCTACCGATAGGTTGGAACCCACCCGCAACAAAAACTGGCCTTGATTGCCGGTCGCTATATGGACTTTATTGTACATGTTGCTTATTATCGCTCCCTCAGTTTACATAACCTCAAAGTAGCAATGGGCCAACACATTGATACTCAAGGCTGTCAACACAGTATGCAACAATGTAGATCAGGTTTGTGCTGTACACCGAGCTAGTAGAACCCTCTAGGATCCTCCATAGACAACATTTCTGTCAGTGGTTCAACCATGATTGACCCCTCATGTAGGCTGCTTATAATTAAGGACATTGCACCCATCAAGAGCGGGAATCGCCAAGGTTTCGCATGCTACATCGGGCGTCTTATCTGGATCGCGCAGAAGCAGTACAACAGAGAGGCCCACCTTTATATGTCTATTTATATACCTATATATGTATACATATATATATATATGATTCTATTCATTTGTACTAAATTCCGAAATGATTCCGAAATCGTGCACGGTCAAGATCACCACCAACATCACCAACCCCCATCATCACCATCATATCGCACATGCCAGTTTTCCTCCTCGTCGTCCTCGATCAGCACTGCTGCGCCATGCAAGCTCACAAATGCTTAACTTCTTCGTGTTGCGCACCTCGCTGTCGCTTGATGCCATCATACCGGGACTTGCTTCTGAGCCACAGCCCGCTTTCTTAGGCGCAGGTGTACATGTACATATAGACACAAAGAATATAATATGTATATATATATAGACAGATAGATAGACAGCTAGATAGGTACAAATAAAGGTCGCAAGATAGGGAGGTTGTTAGATAGAAAGAAGAATAGAGATAATTTATGCATGGATGTGTGCACACGTACATACATTCGCACATACGTACTCACCCACGCATGCATGCAGGGAAACTACAGAGTCTGTAGGGACACTTACAACAAGTGTGCCCTGGGCCCCTTGTGCTGCTGCTTATACTGCATAGGTTGGCTCAACTTGCTTGTTTCATACTATCCTGTATGCTGGGACGAATCTAATGTTGCCACGTACCAAACAAGGACTGTTGGACCTTTCGTTTTCTTGGTTCCCTACACAGCTCGTGTATCTACGTAGGCCTTTAGCTGAATGTGTAACCCGAAGCGGCCCTATAGAACTCCAATTTGCCGGGAAAGCTTGCTTGGTCCTACAGGCACATCACTGAAGATGGGGGTACAATCCAGAGCGAGCCGAGGAGGCTCAGTCCTTGAGTTGGGTTGTTTACAGACATATATATCTAGCATTCTGGGGTTGCTGAATTGAACAAGTTAGCGGTCATAGCATTTGATTTGCCAGTTGTTTTAACAAGGTTATATTCAAAATTACGGTGTAAAATATGGGGTGCGTGACCCTACATAGGGCGGGTAAGACAGGTCGAATGAATGACTCATACGCATCGTACCTTGGATAGTAGGAATATTAGGCCCGGTTCTTGTTGGCCCGTGGATCCTTGAAACCTTAGTAAATCGCCCCAGATGGAGTGTTCGAGTCGTAGAGGGCTCAGACAGGATTTAGATTCGGAGAAGAAACCTTAACCTCTTCGTTCCCCGCTTCCATACCCTTAACTGTCCTAGGTATACATGATGTACACCTCCGACACTTCAACCCTTCAAATCCTCCCAAACTTCCCAGACCTGAAATGGACTTTCAAAATCCCAGATAAACTGACAATGCATCATTAACACCCAAGGCTCCGTGATGCTAGCAGATTGCCCATCTGCACACTTGGATAGTGCTGTCTACCAAGCGGATCAGACAGAGTCCTGCCGTGGGTTCCTGAGTTTATCGTCACAAAAGAGCTACACACCGGAGCTGCAAGTAGTAGGAAACGATCTTGTCGTCCGGACAAAACTGTAGCGATGGCCAACCTCAGACAAGGCAGCACGCACTAGAGGAACAATACGGACTCAAAGGACAGCACTTCATAGGAACAACAGCATTAGGGGACTGTGTAGTATTCAAGCAGCGCCATTCCAGCATTCGTGGTCAAATCCATGGCATGTGCAGCACCAGTCGAAAGAGTGTGCTGGTACTGAATATCTAATGCTGCTGTAGGAAGCCCGCTCAATCGAAAGCATCGGCTCACCCAGGCCTTCCCAGCAAAGAGCTCCACACAGCTGTAGGCCTGCGTTGTGAATAAGGGTTTGCATGCTGAGGTACTGATGACACACATTCTAGCATGTTACACAAAATGAACTCATGTTGTGCCTGTGAACCACCATGCATACATGCATACACAACTACACATACGTATCTAAACTTGAGCCACACCATATGATGCAGTGCCAGCCTCCTCGAAGGTTGCCACGTTCGAGGAGAAGCACAAAAGGATGACGCAGGCCACAAGAACCTGGGCGGAGGAGAGGACGCAGGGTCTTCTATGGGAGTTTGGGGCTGCATGTGCAAAGTTTGGACAAACTTAGTGGCTGAGGAAAGCACTTTAGGAGCACTCACATGCAGAAGCTTTCGAATCATACCACGCATGTACTGCAACCTTTGCGCATCCATGGTCACATCCATGGCCAGTATCGACAGCAAAGCGGACCAAGTGGTTATTTGGCTTTATAGAGGTTCTTAGGGCAGTAGGAATCAAGAGGCACTATTGTAACTATAAGGGGCTTTGAGCTTTATGGGATTTTCGGATCTGGGTTGTCATAAAAGTACCTATAGCATTTGAAGGCCTGATATGAATTATGTAAACTTTACATTGTTTGGCTTTGCCTACAGAAATTTTGAGCAGTCTTTTGAAACCTGGGTTCACTTGACATTGAAACCCACAATCTAAGCCCATGCACAGATTGCTGCACCAGGGTGAAAGCACCAGCTTCGAACAAGCAAGTTTCTGCATTTGCAAAGAAGCGAGCTTGCGCACATGAAGCAGTTCACAGAATCTGCATGGACAGCCAACATGCTACGCAGAGCTTGGCACTCAAACTTGGAGGCTGCACGATTTCTGGCCTCGCCGTTGCATTGGCGGAGACGATACCGCCACGCCATGAAGGACCTGAGAAGGCTGGGATATGACCGGTTTCCATGGAAGGAGTGGGAGGTCAATCATATTCTGAACGAGTATACAGCCAGAGTGCAGATGTGAGTCAATCATTTTTTTGCACGAGCAGCCCTAGCTTTTGCGGTACACTGGATGAGCCCCGAAACAGATGCCTAGTCCTACTTCGGCCGTGCCTTGTGGCAAGCTTAGCTAGCTAATCTGGTACAGAGCAGGTAATTACTCACATTCTCACTATTATTCTAAATGTGCATCTATATATATAGGCACCACACACGCACAGCCAAGCAGGAGAATCTGTAAAGCCAATGAACAAAAGTTGTTCCCGTACATCGATTGAAATGAGAAGGTTTCCCACGCACATGTGCGACTATGCACATGAGCAAAACTAGTGCGCATGGTAAGCCAGCGCATGACCCTCACTTGTGATCTGTGTTGCCATCTCAGCACCACAATCAAGGCTCTATAGAGCTATCCGGGCTCACTCTGTAATGGCATCGTCGGGCCCGTCCAGCCCGTGTGTCTGGAGATAGCCAACGGAGCTCATCATCGCCGCACGGTGCACTGTCTCCTCATCCACCTCGATGCACTGGGTAGCCCAATCTTTCACACAGAACTTCCAGAAGAGGTCCTGCTCGATCATGTCTGGCTATATACATCTTCTAGGTTTGTTTACATGTGCTACAACAGAACTATATGCATATATGGGCACACAGCATCAACACACACGCACACAACAAAAGAAAAGGAGCTGGGAATCACAATTCCCATAACATTTCACTTGAAGTCCTCATGTTTGCTGGGGCAAGCAAACTTCTTGTAGATGTTCTTGTTGAACGCAATGCGGATCGCCTGCCATCGCTCCCGTGAGAAACCAGGCTTAGCAGGCATGTACCGGCGGGCGAATGTGCTGGGAATCTGGGCGTCACCGGCTCTGGCCTTCTTGACAACTGGCTCAGCATCCCCGTCGAGGCGCTCACTCTTGCGCTTGCCCGGCTTGGCCTTGCCCTTCGCCTTGGCGCGATTGTGCTTTGGCTCATCCTTGTCGTTGTCAGGCAAAACCTCTTCCGCTGGATCCACGCAATCGTCTGCGCCTGGTGGCAAAACCTCTTCCGCTGGATCCTCGCAATCGTTTGCACCTGGTGGCACAACCTCTTCCGTTGGGGGGGCCTCGACCTCCTCAACCTTGGAACACTTGCCGGCTTTGCTCTTCTTGGCCTTGCTCTTGGCCTTGCCTTTGCCCTTCTTAGGCTTCGGCAAGGGGGGCATCTCCATCATCTCGGGATCCATACCCTTCTCGCAGGGCTCGCTGCCCACGTCGGGCGGATTCTTCTTCCCCTTCTTCCAACCCTTGGGCGGCTTCTTATCGGTATTGGCCTGCTTCTTCTCCGCACGAGCAGCCGCAAGCTTGGCCTTCGATGACAGCTGCTCCCGGCGGGTTACCTTGGTCGTGCACCCACTCGAGTAAGCTTGTCAACACATGAGACGACCGTAAATTTTATAAGCAGTCTACGCTTGATGAAATCAAGTAGTACAAGACCGCTTCCCCCCCAATTCAATTAAGTAGATCTTTACTTTGAATTTCCCGGCAACCCAAACACACGCAGGCACAGCTGCATGCAAACTAGGAACCAAGTCAGGCATGTCCGCAGCCATGGCTTCCAGGTCAATCTCCGCATTGGCCTTGCGGAACTTGTCCGCTAGGTCATCCATGATGTCGGTAGACACAACTTGCGTATCACCATCGGCCTGGCACTCCCGCGACGCGGAAGAGCCAGAGCCGGCCGGTCCTGGTATGTTCACGAATACCCAGCATCATGTACCCAGCTACAAACTCCGCACTACCATAGACGAACCATATAGTACATACACAATTAAGATGCCGAAATCACACGCATGCCTTCAGCAACCCTAGCACGGCTCTCTCGGTCCTCGCAAACCGATGCCCTTCGCTGCTGCCAGTTCCGTGAACTTCGCCCTGAGCAGAAAAAACCCAGCAGACACAATGTGCATGCTTGTACGTGTCTTTACAATACCCCGCAAGGCTCATGGAAACACTGCTAATTGAACCGGAGCTCTGATCGGCCCGCTTCTTCTTCAACAACCGGAGCTTAGCATTAAGTTCCTTGATCTTCCGATAGGGGCTTGGAAACCCAAACTGATGAGACTTCACACACTTGGAAGGGGTCTTATTCTCGGCAACAACGGCATCGTCACTTGCGCAGGTCTCCTGCGCCTTCTTGCGTGGAGGGGTATCCTCCACCAAGACCGTGTCGGCCTCGCCATCTGACATGGGGAGCTCCAGCTGGGAATCCTCAGCGGTGTCCAAGGACAGCTCCGGCTGCACGACCTCTGCCGAGGCCGATTCTGCTGCCTCCTCGTCCAGAACCACCTGGAAAGGGTCGGCTTCGTTGTCCATGACCTCTCCATCAGACAGCATCACCATATCATCGGAGCCGTCACAATCGGAACCGTCATCGTCAACACCAGCGTCACTGCCAGCGTCGGAGTGACCGTCCTGCTATCTCTGGAACACGCTCGGGACTGTTACATGTTTTACTTCGAGTTCAACCGCAACAAATATAGGAGTATGTTGGCACCTGAAGTCTAGAAGGCCTCTCTAAATTCAACACGAGTCCTCATCATCATCTTTCAGCAGATCCAAGAGCTGCTGAAAGGCGGCAAGCCTGGCCTTGTGGCCACGGGCTTTCTTGCGCTTGACCAGGACCACGAACCCCTTAGCCAACCAAGCGTCCTTCTTCAGGTCCAGCTTGCTGATTTCTTGTCCCGGGGCAACCATCCCGTGCAACATGCGAATCCTAAAAAGGCTTTCAATTCAAGGAAACACGGAATGGTATAGCACATATAATCGCAGACAAACACAGAATGAATGCACGTCCAGCGCATGTTGTTGTTAAAGTCTATATAAGTAAAACCTGCAAAAGTCATTTGGGGCACTGCTGTTCAACTTGTTTGATTTTGAATAGCTGGGTCGTGCCATCCTCGTTGCGGTAGGTATGAAGTCTCCGGACAAGTGGAGTTAGCACCTTCACATTGAAGGCCGCCTCCTTCACGTGGCATGCAGGGTCATAGTTTTTCTCCCCACCACAGGAAGAAAAGAGCCGGCGGTTGTCACGCATGTGCTGGCGCACTTCATTTGTGCGTTCCCACTCTGCAGCTACGCCGTCTAAAGAGAGAGGCATGCCACGCTCCATGGCAGGAAACTTATGCACAAAATGCTTTCAAAAAGCCAAATGCTATACAACATATATATGTTGTGAGAAGTCAGCAACAACAGCCTCAATGCCCGTAATCAGCACCCTACGATCAGCATTAGCTTACAACTGTCCCTGATGAGGCCGCGGCCTTCTCGTCCACAAGCCATCCGGAGACAGTGGCGAGCTTCCATCTCTCTTTCTCTTCTACTTGTTAATATATATATATATATACACACCTTATAATCTTGCATAATATATATATATATATGTGTATAGTGTATATATATATATATATATATTTGTGCAGAGTGCCAACCACCCTCTTCCCAGATGTTCTCTTATATATATATAAACATATACATATATATATATATATATATATTTATTTATGGGCAAGTACAGGGTACTATCAGACATATTTGCCACTATTTATATGTAATACCCTACCAAGGGAAGCGAACTGCACACTAGTTGTAAAGCTCAGAAGTCTGAAGCCATAGATTTCTTGTCCATTCAGTCCATTCCTACTGGGCCCATAACTACATGAGCCAGCCTTCAAAACCAAACAGAGGTCAAAGCACAGACAAGGGTCAAACCCGAAATAACTAAGTTTTCGAATGCAGATCTAAGATATGTTTTTACGCCCTCCAAAAAGGAAGGACCCCCAGGGTGCAGGTAAACCCTAAACCCTAAACCACTCAGCATCCTAATTCCATGCTTCAACTTTTTCGGGTTCGCTATGTATCATGTCAAGGGTCTCTCCATGGTTCATGATATAATACCTGCATTACCCATAAAAAGGAATATGCCATAATTCCCATAGTTTAGGGTCCTTAACTTAAGGTATCGCAGGATTTAGATCATCAACAGTAGCTTAAAGTCCAATCCTTACCTACGTGGCGCGGGGTGGGAGGCTTGCGGGGACTAAAGTTCGCGGACAAAGCTTAATCAACAGTTCTTTTGAAAGTAATCCAAATCAGCTACATCAACCCTAAACCCTAAACCCTAAACCCAAAACCCTAAACCCTAAACCCTAAACCCTAAACCGGGGTCAAGGGTGTGGGGCACAACAGCTGAAGCTCTAAACCTTGCTGGTGCATAGTGGATTGTCTCCCTAGGTTTGGTGCAGCCACGGTTTAGGGTTTAGGGTTTAGGGTTTAGAGTTTAGGGCAGCCCATAATATCTGTAGTTCTGTAAATTGGGCCCCTTTTTCAGACCCAAGTATAGTATGGCACCCTGTTTACAAAACTGACCCTATGAGGGACCCTATTTTACTACCCATGTGCTTTATCATGGGATCCTCACCATAGGAGTTGTTTTACAAAAATAGGGCTTAGGGTAGCAAAACTCCACTTAATAATAGCCCTGTACTCCCCTAAACCCTAGACCCTAAACCCTTAACCCTAAATTCTAACCCGCGCTATTTTCTGTCCTGAAGTCAAAATCCTAAATGTCAGGCGCTTCGGACCCTGAACCCTACACCGCAAAGCCATGAGAACCCCGACAAAGCCTACACCGTTATCAACCCTAAGCCCTAAACCCTTTGAAGCCTAAACCCTAAACCCCTTACAGCACCCTTATAGAGCCCTTAAAGGCCCCTTTCAAAGGAGCCCTAAACCCAAAAGCCGAAGGCGTTCCGATGCGGCCGAAGCTCGCCCACGTCGCCAAAGTAAACGCAAAGGCGCCGCTGGCCAACCTTTTGGGGTCAGAATTCGTCTTTTGTTTAACGCGCTCTTTTCAGCTGTCAATCCAGGCTTAATATATGGGTTTAGGCTTAGAGTGTAGGGGTTTAGGGTCCGTGGTTTAGGAGTTTAGGGTGTCGGGTTCGGGTTTTAGACTTTTGGTTTGGGGTTTTGGGATTTTGGAGTCCAGGGCTTTGGGGTTTTGGGTTGGGACATGAAGGGGAATGTCGCAGGCACAAGGCCCATACTGGGGTTCAGGGTACAAGATCAAGGCTACAATGGGGTGCTGGGCTCCGGAGTTCGCAAGAAGTGGCATATCTGACAAGGCAGGATGAATAAGCAGGGTATGACATGATAAAACAACCCTACCCCTGCCCTTATAGCAGTAACCCTTACAGTAACCCTGGAAGTTAGGGCCCTCACAGGGCTCCAGTAGACCCAGAGAACGCGGGGCGTCGGCAAAGGATCCAACTGCCAGTTGCGACCTCAAAGTGCAAGGGTTTAAGTTTATAGGGCTTTACGCTAAGGGTCCAAGTGCCTACTCATCATATACCCTCTCAAATATTGACCTAGATACCTACTATCCGCAACCAAAGTACCTTGTTATTGGGTCCTTTGGACCCTTAGGGTTAGGGTTTAGGCTAGGGTTTGATTTGCGAAGGCTTGGGAGGGGGGCGGGGGGGGGTTTCGGGACTCACACTTCGTGTGAGTCCGCACCAAAGGTAATTAGTCTTTACGTTGCCTTAAGCACGAAATGACCCCTAAAAGCACAGGCCCAAACCCTATACTCTGAATCCCTATAAAGTATACGCACCTTGAACCTTTTACAACTCAATTCGTCCTCAAGGTTCGGGTAGGGCATACGGAATCCTGCTCCAACTTTTCATCGAGGAGCCCTCAAATCCGACTTTCAAATCCCTGCATGCCTCACGAGGCTAAGCCGAAACACAAACCTCTAAGCCCTTAAAGGCTTGTCTTTATACGGTGACAAAGCAATGCACAGTTTATGCAGGCTGGGGTTTCAGTGCCCTGCGTACCCCCCAAACTGGAAAACAACCCAAACCCTACAGAAACCCTAAAACTCCAAAATCTCCGACTATATCCATGAACCCTAGACCCTAAACCCTAAACCCTATATAAGCCCTAACAGCACCCAGAACCATCTAGTACCCTGTTTAGAACCCCTAAATAGTCCTAAATCAAAAGACCGCAGCCCCCCCTTGGACGGAACTCCGCCAAATCAGGCCCAGGAAAAGGCTTTTGGGGTTTAGGGTTGAGGGTGTAAGGGGCTTTCTGTTTGAAGAACTCACACATCCGTGAAGAAGACCTAAGCCCCAAAAATCCTCAAACACATGTTCCTGCAAAGGAGTCCCTACACGCGAAAACCCAAAATTTTATAACCCCTGAAACCCTCAAACCCTGAAGCCTTTAAACCCCTAAAACCTAGAACCCTGAAGCCCTTAAACCCTAAAGCCCTAAACCCTAAAACCCTGAAGTTGCTTCTTGGGGGGGGGATTTTCTGACAAGGAGCCGAAGGAATCTCCACGTGGGCCCAAGATCTCCCGGCCGCACTCAGAGGGGAAGATCCGCTCCTCCCAAAAAGAGGGTTTAGGGTTTTTCAGTTCAGGGAGTTTAAGCTTCAGGGTTGAGGCTTCAGGGTTGCAGAGGCTCCATTTATACTGCAATTCTGGGATTAAGTCCCAAAAAGCTATCCTTGATCTGGGTGGGGGGCCTAGCTCCATAATGGTAGTAGCTTTGGGGCCTCTGGGTTCAGGAGGTTTTACGGCGCCTAGGCTTTAGGATTCAGGGGTGAGAGTTCGAGGTTGAGGGTTCGGGGTTAAGGGTTTAGGGTTCA